ATTTTTTAAATTATAGATTGACATATTGAGTCAGCCACAATGTCTGAACACCACTTGCTGCAATTAAGAATACATGACAACTAGCTAGCAAGCAATCAGGCAGGTAACAGCAAAATTTAATAACTAGTTGTTCAATTGTTTTTATAATTACAGTGTGGTGACAACGTAATACCTGCCAGGATTACGTTCATAGAAAACATTACATTACATTAATGGCTTCACGTCCACACTCCTGCAACAAAAGCGCTTTTGGTTAAATGTCAATAAAAAAATCTTATGTCTCAACTCACTGCTGACTTTTTAATAATGGTATCAAATACGTTGTTGAACGTCTTACTGATACGTTCAATATTAACATTTTTGCAACTTGCCAGATACATTAATGAACAAAATTTCCTCATTATGTTATTAGAAAATCGTTTCCCTTGGAAATTAGTTAGACAGTTAGACTAGTTGGACAGAGCTGTCCAAAATTAATGGATAAACCTTTGAAACAGTTAATGATCACAATCATTTGAAATGAAGTTTAAAGGGTAAACAGATGAAATACTGTAGTAATGGATAAATAGTGGAAACATCCAGCTTATCTTCCATCCTAGGTTGTAGTACAAATGCAAAAATGACCAGACTGACCTAAATTAAAAGTTCAACCGTTACTGTAAAAATATCCACTTTTATATAATAAATACCAAATTAACATATTGAAGTAGAGTTGATCAGTTTACCTGATATGGCTGTGAGGGTAAGGTTGGGAATTTGATCAGGTTGCTCCTTTGAATTAATCCTGTTTGTGTCTGTGTCAGTAAAACCTGCAGATATCAGGATTTGTTTACCCTGTTTCCCACACGACAATCGATTTCATTTTTTTTCTTTTTTCTTAAAGTAAGAACATCTTCCACAGATTTCAAAATTGCCTGACCTACAGTAGACAATCCATCACGGTCAGATGGGAAGGCTTAATTTGATTTTGTCATTTTCTGTGTTGGTTCTATTTTGTTGCACCTGAGGTTTGCGTTTTTCACGTCAGTGCACACATCATGTTACACTGAGCTTCCTGTCAATCACCTGCCAGTCTCGGTAAGAAAAGATCCAGGCCGGAGAATAATCCCTCAAAAACATTTTCCCTTGTAAACCTCTGTGTTTTTATTTATGACATTTTGTTGCCAGACATCGGCTGATTTTCCGCCAGGATGGACAACATAAAACATAGTCCGTATGCACATAATCCATATGCACTACACACAGAAAAAAGTCCCACATGAAATGGAAACCAGAGGGCTATTTGCTTCTGGATATTATTATATTTCCTATAAAAACAGACAGCTAGGAAGAGCCTCCGTAGCCAATAGCACTGTATATTACATCCCCCAGTCCAGCAGCTGTAGCAGACCAATTAGCTGCCTCTGCCGGGACTGGGAGCTCCCAGTGAACAGCACGGCAAGACCGGGACTGAAGGCAGCATCTGATGTCTACTGAGGACAGTTTGGCAGCAGGGAATAAAGTAACAAGGTGTTTTTGGCCGGGTTTGGTTCCTGCCACCCCGGGGCAAAGTCTGATAAAGTTAGCTGCACGAGTTCACTAGCTTCTAGCAACTAACATTACATCTAACATTAACTTCTTATAGCAACACGTCCATCTGGAACCTCTGTAAATCACCAAACTGGCCCCTGTCTGTCTCTGAGGTTACGTTCACTGGGAGGCTGCTGAGCCCCGTTAGGTTGCAGTAAGCATTTAGTCGAGTTGAGGAGAAACAAGACAATATTCTCTCCATATATGATCCGGTTTTACCCAAATCCCTGATAAAGTTGTGCTTTTGTACAAGTGATAGTGCTGTGTCTTTGTACAGTAATCAGAATCAGAATCAGAATCAGAAATACTTTAATAATCCCCGTGGGGAAATTATCAGCGAGGCCCAGCCGTCCATGCAGCTGCTAGCTGGGTAACTAATGAATCTTTGCTCTGAGACAACTAAATGTTGAAGATTGATGGGTGAATGCTATTGGTTGAAATCAGTTCGTTCATGCTTACCTAAGCACATTTTGTTTTACAGGAAGAAAAAAAAAGATTGGATTTTGATGTAAAATACAAAGAAATTATGTTTTTGAACATTTTTTGGCATGCATTGTTGAATGAGTATACAATATGACTGATGATGCAATTTTAAAGGTTTAAAATTACATTTTTCATTTCACCTGGACTTTAAACGAAATGTAAAGCAGCTGTGTTACTCCAAATGACATTACAATTCTTTAAACAGGAGTTTTGTGGATTAAAAACAACCTCAAGTAGGAGTTGAGGAAGAGGTTCATGTCAATTTTCTAAACTAATAGTGGCTCTGTAAAGTATCTTTTAGCACCTCTCAACAGTCATCTTTCCTCGTCGCTAATTCACTTTTAATAACTTCCATTCTTGCTGCCGGACTGTCAACTCAAGGAGAGCTTTTAGAAAAACAAAGCCCCCAGTCCTCTAGATTCATTTCAACAACAATACTGTACTATAAATCAGCTCCCAAACCCCTTAGTCAGGGAAAATACACTCCATGTGGAAGTTGTACTACGTTGCATCAGCCAAAAGAGTGAGGGATTGGCGGGGGGGGGGGATGTTTTTAACATGCAAAGAGGTCTCTGTGTGGCTGTGCGAGCCGGGGGCAGCTCTTCAGCCAGAGCTCCATCTTTTTACGAGCCCACAGACACAATCACACTGGAACATGTGGTTTTGATCGGCTCACGTGCAAGGCCGAGGCCAGTTAAAGCACCAAGTATACAATGATCACTCACTATGCTGTAGCAATGAGAACCACATGGCAGTTCAAAACCCAAATGCCCTGATCCCAGTCCCTGTTTTCAGTCATGTCCTGTCTCGTGGGAGCTCTGTTCCCAAGCTTGCAAACAATGGCGCTGTATTCATTCAACTTTTTCAGGCAGACTCCCCAAACATGTTTTATTGTGATGCTGGATTATATTGGCCGTTGTGTTCAATATTCACCGTCTAAAGGAATTTTCTAATTTGTCTGCCATAGTTTCAGGATGTTTTCTCTAACATCGGCACACCTTTGATTAATTCAGATATTAAGATGATACTGAGAGTTAAATCAGCCTCTCCTATGTTTGCCTGTGTATTTTCACACCAGCAAGGCGAGATCAGACACGTTGAATCCAAACCTTCTGCTTGTTGCGCAACAACAAACATGATGAAATCGCGGTTCACCTGTTTATTATTCATATGCCTCTTTATTCTGCGTTTCACCACATACAAACACACACAGAGGAATGCAAAACAACACAGAATTGTGTAGCTTCACAGAAAAGTTGAAGCTAGCTAATGGCAGCAACAGTAAGCACTAGTTAGCAGCTAACTATATGTAACCGCTCACTACAAGTAAAGCTAACTCCATACACCACTAATAGTAAAGCAGCCAGAGGACATCAGAAGGACAACCAGAGCATATTGTACCTGTAGAATATGATCCAGTTTCACCAAAATCAGTGAATAAAGCTATAAAGTTGTGTTTTTGTACAGTAATCAGTGAGGAAACACTGCGCTCTCTTCTAATTTGTGATCTGATAATCAGTAAATTCATTAAATTCAATGCCCTATATTGCTGCTTTCCAAGCTACGTTGCAGAAGTTGGCAGAAGAAAAGGGCTTTATGGGAGGGGAGCTTTAAAGAGACAAGAGGATGAACTGAGGGAATACATAAAGGGCCAGTATAAGATAAATAAGGATTTTAAAAAAAAACTATGAGTCATACAAAGCTACTCTAGTGGGGTCCCAGAATAAAAATATAGAGCTGGAAATGAGCACAATAGGTCCTCTTAAAGTGGAGACTCACTATAGAAATTCAACTCGGCAGATTAATTATTAGGGCCGAGCACTGACAAGTGCAAGGACCTATTCTAATTCTCCGTTATTATTTTTTTTTGCCCCTTTAATTGCACGTTCGACAGCTCACGAAACTTTGCACAAAATTAAAACGTGGCAGAACTCGACATATTCATTTGTACCCGTGCACGGGTACAAATTTGGTCAGTATGATGTAA